TCTCTCTCTCTCTCCTTAGCCCTCCCTCTAGTAAAGGCTGGCAGTATGGTAGAAACCCCACCCCTGTTTGCCTTCCAAAGCTTTTTATTGGCCACTAGAATATACTCTAGTGTGGAGTCCTCTGATGCCTGTACCATCCACCTGGAAGACAGGAGGCTATTCAGGCCTGGTTGTCCTGGGCTTGGGTCTGGCCTTGACCCCTGAGCTGTTCCTCCTGCCAATCAGCTCTGCCCTGACTGGCCATGGGTCATCCCATCTAAGCTCCCTTCCTTACCCTTGCCCTCACTTGCTAGGTCAGTCTGGATACTAATTCCCCTCAGATGGTAACTCCTATGGTACTGTCCACCACAGTCCACAGGTGCTCCCCCATGCTGGGCACTACTGTCCCCCCACCCCCGCCAGTGCCTGGTGAGGGCAGCAGCCCCCAGGCTTGCCTCAGGCCCGTGGGTCCCTCTAGTAAGGCTCCACAAGAGGCAGAGGGTTATGGCAGAGGAGCTCTGAGGGGTTAGTGACAGCTTGTGGGGACCTCAGGTGGTGTAGCTGGTCTTCCCCATTCATATGTATAGTCTCTCCCTACTCCCATACAGTCCTCCCATTTAAAGAGTATCATTCAGGGCTTTTCAGTAAATCCTCAGAGTGGAACCACTGCCACAATTAATTTTAGAATGTCTTCATTGCCTAATAAGGAACCCCATAGCTGTCAGCCGTCACTCCCCATGCCCTGCAACTTTGCACCCCATTACTGGCCACAGCTGTCAGTCTCTGTGAAGTGCCTGCTCTGGACATTTCTTTCTGATGGCATCATGTCACATGTTACCTTCTTCATCTGCTCTGCTCCACTTTAGCATGAGACCTTGAAAGCTCACTGGATGGCTTGGATGAGTATTGCTTTCTCAGAAATTCATTTAATCTTTTTTTTTTTCTTTGAGACAGGGTTTCCCTGTGGCTTTGGAGGCTGTCCTGGAACTAGCTCTTGTAGACCTGGCTGGTCTCAAAGTCACAGAGATCCCCCTGCCTCTGCCTCCCGAGTGCTGGGATTAAAGGCGTGCACCACCACCACCCAGCCATTTAATAATTTTTCATTGTTCCTTTACATAGTACTTCATAAAGCTATGTAGCCCTGGCTGGTTTGGAACTTCTGTGTAAGACGAGGCAGGCCTTAAACTCACAGAGATTGGCCTGCCTCTGCCTCTGCCTCTGCCTCTGCCTCTGCCTCTGCCTCCCAGGGGCTGGCATTAAAAGCATGAACATGCAGCACTGTGTTTTGGAGCCAGCCTTTGGGCTGTAAAGGTGAGGCTGCTGTGAGCTTGGTGTGCAAATGTCCATGGGTGTTGTATGTTTCTGCCTCGATTAAGTGGACCCTTGAGCTAGTCTGGCAGCAAACCCTGTCTGTCATGGCTCCAGTTCTTCCCACATGCTATTCTCTGCCTGGAATATCTTGTGGTATTGCCTGCTTGCATCTGGCTGGTTTCTACTCAAGCTTTGTCCTAGCAGCCCCTGTTGAGGAAGTCATAGCTCCAGTTCTTCCCACATGCTATTCTCTGCCTGGAATACCTCGTGGTCTTGCCTGCTTACATCTGGCTGGTTTCTACTCAAGCTTTGTCCTAGCAGCCCCTGTTGAGGAGCCCTTCCTGGCCCCTGCTGTCCCTCCCATCCTCCTCTGCCCTCAAATCCCCAGCTCCCTGACTGAGAGCTTTACAGCTGTCAACCCTTGGCTGCAAGGTGTCTTTGTCTTTCATGCTTCTTGGGGACAGAACTGTGGTTGCTCACCTTTGCCTCCCAAGCTCCAGGTGGGACATGGGGTGCGACTGGTCCAGCCAAGTCCCCATAGCTGAAAGGCTGGCTGGACAGGGGGCAGGGTGGGATAAAGGTAGGGTCGGTACAATTAGAAACTCCTTCAGGACAGACCTGCGAAGGAGGATCCCAAGCTGGTGACAAAACCATAGGCATGACTTGTGTAGGGCCATGGAGTGGCTGATTCCCGTTGATCAGCAGCCTTGACACTGTAGAAGACATGTGTATGAGGAGGGCTGGGTCTCAGAGCAGGCCCTGGACCTAGAAGGCATGGGACCCTGGGGAGGGATGGCCTGCATGGAAGGTGGGGGGTTGTAAGAAGTGGAATACCAGAGGTGTGCTGAGAAAGGTGTCTCAAATTAAATTAAATGGTTAATTTAATCATCAACTTGACATAACCTAGGATTGCCATTGAGAGTTTCAGTGTGGGGTTATCTAGACCATGTTGGCTAAGAGCATGTCTGTTGGGAATTGCCTGTGTCTGATGGTGTGGGAAAACCCAGCTAGAGAATACATGGCACTATTCCTGGGCTTTGAGTCCAGAATTGTATACAGGTAGAGAAAGACAGCCAAACACAGCTGTGTGTACATTCATTTCTTTCTCTGCTGTGGATGTCACCAGCTTCTTCTAATTCCTGCCACCTTGACCTCTTCTCAACGGTTGTCACCTGGAACTGTGGGTCTGACTGTCACCTGGAACCATAGGCCAAATAAATCCTTTCTCCTCTATGCTGCCTTTGGTAGAGTGATTTATCACAGGGGCAGAAATGAAACTAGGCCAGTGGGGATCTACAAAGGTGCCTCAGACCCACTGGGCCTCAGTTTCCCTATCAGTACAGGGAGCACAGGACTCAAGGGCTTCCCTCTGTCCCACAGAGAGCAGCCTGGTGCACGGAGTGGTTTCCCGAGGTGGCCGCCTCCAGCTGAGTCGCCTGCAGCCTGCCCAGGCTGGTATTTACACTTGTGTGGCTGAGAACGCCCAAGCTGAGGCCCGCAAAGACTTTGTGGTGTCTGTATTAGGTATATCTTGCACCCTATACCTTGTCCTGTTTGTCGTATCCCAGCAGCCCCTGCTGCTGCCAGGACCTCACCATAGCCCATGTTACAGTGCCTCCCCAGATCCAGAACTCAGGCACGGCACAAGAACACAATGTGTTAGAGAGACAGGAGATAAGGCTGGACTGTGACGCTGAAGGACAGCCACCACCAGATATAGCCTGGCTGAAGGACGGTAGCCCATTGGACCAGCATGTGGGGCCTCACCTCCGGTAAGACTGGGTCATGCCTCTTGAGGCATCAGAGCTGCCAGCCTGTGTGTGTCTGCCCTCAGTGACTCCTCCCCATGCAGGTTCTACCTGGATGGCAGCTCCCTGGTGCTGAAGGGCCTAAAAGCAGCAGATTCGGGTGCCTACACCTGTGTGGCCCACAACCCGGCTGGGGAGGATGCCAGGCTGCACACAGTGAACGTACTGGGTGAGGAACTGAGGCTAAGGAGAGGCAGGTAGCCTCTGTGGGGATGCCTACATGGGGATGAGTAGGTAGAGTCAGGAACCTCTACTCAAGACCTGGTCATGTCCACTCTGCCAGCTCCCTGGGCCTTCAGGACAAGTTATCAAGTAAGACTCACAAGCTTCCCAACCCAAGACTCAGCAGGGTGTCCTGACAGGGGCCATAAAAGAGTGGGCGAATCTGGGCCCCAGGTAGTGGACCTCATCTCTCCAGGAGGTGGCCCAGACTCTAAGTACCTAACTGCAATGTCTGGCAGTGGCAGAAGTTCAGGGCTGGGTGCTGTCCTCCATCTAAACCCCTCATCACTTTTTTTACCTACCACCCCAGTTCCTCCCACCATCGAGCAACGAGCTGGTGACACAGGGACCCTAGTGAGCAAGACTGGAGAGCTGGTGACCATGATGTGCCCTGTCCGGGGATCCCCACCCATCCATGTGAGCTGGCTCAAGGACGGCCTGCCCCTTCCACTCTCCCAGCGCACATTCCTCCACAGCTCTGGCCGCACTCTCAGGTAGGTGAGCCGTCCTGCCTCTGGTTCCTGATGGCAGCTGCTGACCCATTCTCCAAGTAGCTCAGGCTCCAAATGTTTCCATATGGGTATTAAAATATAAATAGTACAGACACAGAGAGGTTTATGGTACCTGGCACAAGAAGTCCCTACCACCCAGTGGAACCCCAGAAATAATAGAGGCCTTATCCTATGGCCTGGTGAAGAAGGTATAGCCCAAGAGGACACCTGAGTGCATTGACTTGGCCTGGCAAGGTGGGAAGCAGGGAGGGCTTCCTGGACGGGCCTGAGCATAGCTGGTGGTTCTAGACACCAGCAAGAGTCTTGCAGCTACAGGAACCAGGTATAGGGGGATAGAAAGCAAGGGCCCCAAACCATGAGCTCTGAAGATAATTGAAGCTTGTCAAGGTAATGGATGGTGACAACAGAGGGTCAGGCTAGCTGCTCATTGGTGCTCAGGTGGAAGAAGGTGGAGCAAGGCCTGGGTTCCATGGGAACAGCATCCAGACAGAGGGAAGAGTAAGGCCAAGGGCCTCCAAGGTAATTGCAGGACAGGAAGACAACAGGGACAGACAGATGATATGGGTGAGGCCTTGGGGTTCCTGTCATGAAAGGGTTCTCTCTTTCCATCTTTCCATGGGTTCTGGGAATCAGTTAGATCACCAGGGGTGCACAGCAAGAACTTCACACACTGAGCCACCTTGTCAGCCCAGAAAGGAAAGTTTTTAGAGACAAAATGAGGATTACACAAGACACTCTGAAACCACAGTCCTTAACCTCAAGCTACTGACAAGAGTGGCCCCTGCCTGAAGCTGCATAGACCACTCACTACAGGGCAGGTGGACTCAGTATTTCTCACATGTTCTCCAAGGTCTGTCAGTCTTTGGTGACAGCCACATTGGGTAGTCATGCACAAGAGCCCTTCCTTAACTGGCTGCCTTGGGCTTGACCAAAGTGGTTCCATTTTTAATCTGACTGCTGACACTGAGGTTCCCAGGCACCTATAGTGGTTCCATTTTTAATCTGACTGCTGACACTGAGGTTCCCAGGCACCTGAGGGACATGTACCATCTACTTGGAGCTTGGGGAGATAGACTTTCAGGGATTGTCAGCACATGGAAGATTCTGGAAGCCAGCTGGATGCAGCTATCTAGCACATTTGTGCACCATGCCCTGGCTGCTTGGGCTAGGGCAAGGCCTTTGGACTTGGCAGGGACCAGGTGGTGGGAAGCCTCTGTCCTGGAGGGGAGAGTGACCTGGCTTTGGCATCACGATCCTCTCTGGCCCAGGAGAAGCTGAGGATCAGGAGAAAGGGGGACTGAGAGTGGGACCAGTAGATGGACACAACCCAGGTGGATCCTGAGGACAAAGTGTGATTGTCTGTAGGAAGGATGTCTGCCCCCATGGTGGGACTGTGAGCTTCCAGAATTTGGGAGCGAGGTTTGACTGAGGCACTAAGGACTGGAGAAGGCAGTGGGTGTGGGGCTCGGGGAAGAGCAGTTTGGGACTCTACTAGGGAGCACTAGGATGCCAGGAAAGGGGCGGAACCTCAGAATTAGCCTTTGGAGACATAAGAAAAGGAAGGGTAGTAGATCCACTCAACCTCTTCCCCTCTCACCCCTCCCCTTCCCTCATACCTTCTCCCACTTTGGGGAGCGGGTTCAGGATTTCTCAGGTGCAGCTGGCAGATTCGGGCATCTTCACCTGTGTGGCTGCAAGCCCAGCTGGTGTGGCTGGCAGAAACTTCACCGTGCTGGTACTCGGTATGGGGCAGGGTGTTGCAGGCGGTGCCATTGGCTATGACAGATGAGAATGAAGTCCCCACCCATCCCCTGCTCATCAGGGGCGTTCTAATCTAATTCCTTCCATTGTTCTTTCATTTGTTCCCCAAGTGGTGAGCAGGCACGCTAGTGTGCCAAGCACTGACAGGTATAGTTTATGGTGGTGAGCAGGGGCTTTGGGCCCCAGCTCCGTGGGGGAGGGGGTGGCTATGGGGAGGACTCACCTAGCATGGCAGTTCCAAAGGGCTTATCCATGAGGCCATAGCTGGTGTAAGGATTCAGGATGAGGGCCACCTGCTGTGGATTAAAATGGACCCTACCCTCACTTTTGTCCCCTCAGTACCCCCCACTCTGGAACCGGTAGAGTTTCAGAATGATGTGATGGCTGTCCAAGGCTCTGAAGTGGTCCTTCCGTGTGAGGCCCGGGGAAGCCCCCTGCCCCTTGTATCGTGGATGAAAGATGGGGAGCCCTTGTTGCCCCAGATCCTTGAGCAGGGGCCTGGCCTGAAGCTGGAAGCAGTGAGCATTGGTGACTCGGGGACCTACTCCTGTATGGCAGCGAGCGAGGCAGGGGAGGCCAGGAGGAGTTTCCGGCTGACAGTGATGGGTGGGTGCGCTGTCCTCAGCAGCTTCAGTGACTGGAGGGTGAGGGGGACAAAAAGGAAATGTGGGAAGGCAAGTCCCCGGGAGATTTGGGGTCAACACCAGGCCTCACCAGCCTCGTCCACCAAGCAACTGTGGCTGAGAAATACAATCCTCCTCAGCTCTATTTCAATGTTTTTTTTTTTTTTCAACCAAACCTTGGTGTCAAAGCAAAAGCTACAGACACCAGCATCTAAGGACACAGCCACAAGACATAGCACAAGAGTGCAATGTTAGGCCAAATGTTGAGACATTTGCCTTAATTCTGTCTCCTCCTCATGGACTGAGTCCTTGTTGGTGTCAAAGTACAAATAATTGTCCTGAAGACATAGACTTGTGGTTTCTATGTTTAAGTGACCACCCATCACCCCTCCCCATATTCAGATGTTTTTGGCTCCTCAGCTGTGAACCACTGGATGGTGAGGGAGGGGAGAAATGTCTGACCCAAGGTGGACATCTTGCAGATCCCCCTCACATTGAGGAATCTGGCCAGACTTCAGAGCTGTCACTGACACCTGGTGCCCACCTGGAGCTCCTGTGCGAGGCCCAAGGCATCCCCCCACCCAACATCACTTGGCATAAAGACGGGCAGGCTCTGAGGAGAATAGAGAATGACAGCCAAGCTGGCCGTGTGCTCCGTGTGAGGAACGTGCAGGTATTGGCACCTGCCCACTAGGGGCGGAGTCAGGAGTGGATAAGAAACTGGAACTGTCTTGTGGGCAGCTGCCAAGCCTCTCTTGTGTGCCTTGTGGCTAGGAACATGATCCTTGGCCTATGTCCTATGGACTCCTGGGCAGGCCAGAGCCAAGAATGATAGAAAAAGCAGATAGATGAGGCAAGAGGGATTTTCCAGAAGTTGCAGGCCTGCCCTGGTTGCACCTCAAGAGCAAGATGGAGAAGAGAATTCCAGGGAGGGATAAGCTGGCTGGAAGGTGGGGTGGCAAGAGGGGTGGACACATGGGGCCAGAAGCAGCTGATCTCCTTGCTCTGTTTCCAGGTGGACAATGCTGGGCTCTACACCTGCCTGGCCGAGAGCCCTGCAGGTGAAGTTGAGAAGAGCTTCCGGGTCAGGGTCCAAGGTAAGGGCTAAGGGGACAGGGGAAGAAGGGGCATAATGAGACCTGCAGGGTTGGGTCCATCTTTCGTATTCTCTCATTTTCCCAGCCCCTCCAAATGTTGTTGGGCCCCGGGGTCCCCGCTCTGTGGTTGGCTTGGCTCCAGGGCAGCTGATCCTGGAGTGCTCGGTGGAGGCAGAGCCAGCACCAGAGATTGAGTGGCATCGAGGCGGCATCCTGCTTCAGGTGGGCCCTTCATCGCCAGCTCTGAGGCCTCTGAAGGGTGCTGGGGGTTTTGTCCTGGTATCATTCTTCGTGTCTGCATTGGGCACATCTTCTACCTTGAAGACCATTGTCAACCCATATCGTGTCTGGTCACCACAGCAAGACCAGGATTCACACCTGGTGTTCTTTCCGTGGTACCTTCAGGTTACACTGAGGACTCTGTGACCCAAATCTATGAGAAGCTGTCATCCTTCCTGGGGTCCAGTTTGTAGTTATGGACTATGGGGTTGCAAGTCTTTGGGTGGGGGTTTCATGACAGTGCTCAGCCCCTCTAGGTTCCTGGGGCTCAGTGGAGTGACCCTCTGATGCAGGTCTGTTGCTAGCCTAAAATGGAACAGAGGCCATTGCTGCCAAGCCTCATAGGTTCCTCAGACCTCCTGGCCTGGTGCTTATTTGGGCCAAGACTAGTTTGACCCATAGGGCTCCATCAAGCAGAAACTAGGGGAGGGATTGTGGTACAGACCTACAGGTGGGACTCTGAGAGAGGCTAGACCCTCGGCTGAATCTGCAACCAGATCTTTCCCAGCAAGAGGATGCCAACTCAGTCCTGAATCCATGAGATCAAGGTCAAAGGACATAGCCAAGTGCCAATAAAGATCCCTCTTCCCCCTATCCTGGGGGCCTCTGCAGGCAGATGCCCATACTCAGTTCCCAGAGCAGGGCAGATTCCTCAAGCTGCAGGCGCTGAGCACAGCTGATGCCGGGGACTACAGCTGCACAGCCCGCAACACTGCAGGCAGCACCAGCGTGGCTTTTCACGTGGAGATCCACAGTGAGTGTTCCCCTCCCTACCCACCATCCCCTCAGAGCCACAGGCTCCCAGCCCTGCCCTCTGCCCCTCCCCAGTGGCACCCACCATCCAGCCAGGACCGAACGTTGTGGACATCCCAGTGAACCGCACAGCCCTGCTGCCCTGCCAGGCCCACGGTGTGCCCACGCCCCTCATGAGCTGGCGGAAGGATGGGATCCCTCTGGATCCTGGGAGCCCCAGGTGGGAGCCAGAAGGGGAGGGCTTCAGGAGGATTTTGGGTTTAGGGTCCTCTTTGCCAGTCACAAAAGGAACTCTCTTGGGCAGTTGGAGCAGAAAAGTGACTTTACACAGGATGTAGGTGGCTCTCAGATCAAAAGGACAGGCACACACCATTGTTAACCTCTGTTTCTCTCTAGATATGGTGTTCACTCCTTTACTCTCCCTTTCTGCTTGCCCTCGCTGTCTCTCCCATCTCTGTGATCATGGCAGGTACCCTCTCCCCAATCTACAGCTTCCCCAACTCACACAGTCTGTGGAGCCAGTAAACCCTTTGTGGATATCAAACCCAAGTCCCCAAAGCACGCAATGCAGTTGGCTCAGCCTGTGTGATGGACCATCCGCTATCCAATCTACTGTGTCTAAGGGCAGGGTTACATAGTACTGCCTGGCCATTGCGGCCATCCTCAAAATAGTGAGTATGCTGCTACCAGGAGCAGCCCCTCTCGACCTGGAGCTAGGCAGTGTGTGGTAGCCTTAGGTTGGTCTCTTGTGTGCAGGAATTAATTTTAATCCTTTTGTAGGGAGAGCTGGGGGCAGAAGGGAGCATCTTGCTGGAGACAGAGTCAGGAGTCCAGCCCCTCTCAGAGCCCCATCTGCCTATCTCCATGGCCACCCCCCTCTCTGTTCCAGGCTAGAGTTTCTGCCTGAGGGTTCACTGCGGATCGATCCAGTCCTGGAGCAGGATGCTGGACACTACCTCTGCGTGGCATCCAACTCAGCTGGCTCTGACCGGCAAGGCCTAGACCTCAGAGTCCTTGGTAGGTGAATGGGGAAAGGTATTCTTCCTGCCTTCAGCATCTACTTCTAGTCCTGCTTGATTTCTGAGTTGTTCCAGGTGTCAGGGTCCAAAAGCAACGATCCTCAAGAGGTTTTACCTCTATATACCCAGAGGACAGATGTGTCATATACCTTTCTTTAAGTAAATGGCAAAGCACAGGGTGTCAGAGGTTCCAAGAGAGCTGGCTCAAAGTCAGTGAACTGGGTCCTGTGGGCAAGCTTGTCCTCCCATGGCAGCTTTACGACCTTACAGGACTCTGACCCAGACAGGGCTGTTGGAGAGGAGCCGTGGCAGCCCCCTTCAAGGATGGGGTGTCAGGAAGGCATCTAGTTCAGGGACTCAAAAGGCCCAAACAATTTAACATAAAGGCCTGTTGTCTGTCCTCTCTGGAGAGCCCTCCCTTCCCCAGCTCCAAGGGACAGGTTGAGTGTGGCAGTGAGTGTCCCAAGCCTGAGCTCCTACTCTGGGCACAGTCTCAGAAAGCCCCCATGTGCCCATCCCATGTCTGTCTCCTAATAACAAACCTCTCCCCAGAGCCCCCAACCATTGCCCCTGGCCCCTCCAACCTGACCCTGACTGCTCACAGCCCAGCCTCACTGCCCTGTGAAGCCAAAGGTTCCCCCAAGCCATTGGTGAGCTGGTGGAAGGATGGGCAGAAGCTGGACTTTCGCCTGCAGCAAGATGCCTACCGGTAATGAACAGCCCATCTACAGGAGCAAGATATAGGATGTTGGGTGGGCCTCATCACACAGAGTGTGGCAGGGTCAGTGAGGAGGGCACCAGACCTCAGGGTGCCAGGGGCAATTGTGACCCCGAGGCAGACAGGCTCACCTGGCCAGAGATGAGGTGCTTGAACACATGGCCCCCACAGAAAAACATGTGTGATGTATTCAGCACATTGAAAACAAGACATGGGGGTACTAAGATTGGGGGGTGGGGAGGCTCAATTGTAGGCCGTGTGTTTGGCACGTGTGAAGGCTGTGCCTACTTCTGAGAGCTGTTGGGTATTGCTCACGTCTCACGTGGAGCCGATAGCTAATGTCCATTAGAAGTGTATGTCATATGTCTCCTCACTTCTGGTTGGAGATCAATTGTCATGATCTGAATCATTGTCCCAAACACGCAGGAGACAGAGAAACATGGATGGGGACAAAAGTGAGTCACAACCCAATAGCTGAGACTACATACGAGTAGAAATTTCTAGAAGACACCTCTTTTCTCCACTGTGCATGATGTTTGTCTGAGTTGAATATATGGATCCCATGTGTGTGCAGTAGCCCATGAGGCCTGAAGAGGGTCTCAGATCCCCTGGATCTGGAGTTATAGACAGTTGTCAGTCGCCTGACATGGGAACAGAACTTGAGTTCTTTGGAAGAGTAGGCAACACTCTCAGCCTCTGAGCCATCTCTCCCGCCCTCAGAAGACACTTCAAGCATCCATGTCTAGGGACAGAAGCAGGGGAGACCGATTTAGCTCACCCCAGGCTACTCACTTCAGTCATCCATCTGTCCATCCCAGGCTCCTGCCTTCCAATGCCCTGCTCCTGGCAGCTCCCAGCCCTCAGGACTCAGCCCAGTTTGAGTGTGTGGTGAGCAACGAGGTGGGCGAGTCCCGCAGGCGCTACCAGGTGACTGTCCACGGTGAGTCCTGGCACAGGTGGAAATGTGGGTACAACACCCTCCCTCCTTGGGAGCTCTCCTGCCAGCAGGGACCTGTGCTGGCTTCGCCCAAGACATCCTGAGACTCCTCCTTCAGGAAGCCCTCCTGGGTCTTACTTCCCATCACTTTGATGTAACTCAGGTCGTAGTACAGTTCCTTCGAGTCTAATCTGACCTTGTCGTCACCCAGGTTTAAATTGTTCCTTCCTCAGCTGCCTGGGCCCTCAAGGCAGACTAAAGTTTCAGCTGGACCTGCAGGTCCTGTGTGGTCCAGCCCCACTGGTGGTCCCAGGTTCAGCTTGCCCCATGGCTTGCTCTGGGACCAGCTATGCTGTTCCTTACTTCAGGAATTCTTCACATGCTGTTCCCTCTGCCAGGAACACACTCCCTTCACCCAGCCAACACCTGCTTTTCCTCCAGATGTCAATTGAGTGTCACCTTCTCCAGAGGCCTTCTCCAAAGTCGCCAGACTATTCACCAAAAAGCGACTCATGACTGTATCTCTGTGCTGAGTATACCAGAATGACTTTGCCACACCCACAGCTTCAGCCTCTGCCCCATCATCACTCATGCCACTCTTCTTTATGACAGTCTGTCTCCGTTGTCCCATGGCCACCTGTCCCCTCTGCACCTCAGCAGGGACGTATCTTGTGTTTCAGTACCACCCACCATTGCGGATGACCAGACAGATTTCACGGTAACCAGGATGGCACCTGTTGTCCTCACATGCCACAGCACAGGGTCACCAGCCCCAGCTGTGTCCTGGAGTAAAGCAGGCACCAAGCTGGGAGCCAGGGGCAGTGGCTATCGAGTCTTGCCCTCTGGTGAGTAAGGGCAAGCAGCAGAGCAGACACTGAGGAGGGAGGAGGCTGTACCCAAGGTGTGAAAGAGCCCTGGACAGCAGGGAAGAAGAGAGTCCCTCACTTTGCTGTGTGGCCTGAGGGGAGATCCTTACCCACTCTGAGCCCCAGTATCCCTTCCTGTGCACTGTGCAGCTATCTGAGGCCCACCAGAGGAACTCTGGGATCCTGAGAAAAATCAGTACTTTTCTGGCAAAAGGAGAAAAAACCCTGGGAGTGTTGGAAAAGCTAGTTTCACCCAAGGGTGCCAGACTCTAAAATCCTGCTCATGACTATTGGTGTTTGAGGGTTCCTAAATTTGATGGGGTTTAGATAACGGGGATGGTGATTTGTAAATGCCATGGCTGTGCTGAGAATACAGCTCACTTGTAGGTGGGAAAAGACTTGGGTTCCATCCCCTGAGCCACATAAAACCAGCTTGGTGGTCCATATCTGTAATTCCACTACTTGAGAGGTGGAGGCAGGAAAAAACTTCAAAGGCATCCTTAGCTATATAGTAGGTTCAAGGCTAGCCTGGCCTACATGAAACTATGTCTCAAAAAAAAATTGTAGCTGGATGGATGGTGCACATCTTTAATCCCAACACTCCGGAGGCAGAGGCAGGCGGATCTCTATGAGCTTGAGGCCAGCCCGAGCTACAGAGCGAGTTCTAGGACAGCCAGAGCTACAGAGCGAGTTCTAGGACAGCCAGAGCTACACAGACAAACCCTGTCAAAAAAAAAAAAAAAAAGCAAAAAAATTTGCATTTACGTATCAAAATGATAGGGCAATTTCCCACTTGAGTGCTCTTGTTAGTTAGGAAACCCTGTTCTCAAGACCACTGGGCAGGGCAGCCCCAGATTTCAGAATGTCTAGATGCAATGGATCCCTCATTCCAACCTGGGATTACAAGCCAGTGACCTCTCTCTCCTCCCTGACCCAGCAGGCCCCAGGGGTCCCCAAACACTTTGCAGTGAGGTTGAGCTAAGGCTCACCGCTGCCTCAGGCTGTGAGAGGGAAGATGGGAGAGCAAAGGGAGTCCCAGAGGCTTCTGGGAGGACCACATAGAGAAGGCCAGTGCGGAACAGCTGACCCTGTTCCGCACTGGGTTTGCACAGCTGGGAGGCCCTGCAGTCCATCTTGTCTGATTCTCATTGTGCACAGTGAGAAACTGAGGCCCAGAGAGTAGAAGGAAGCTGTTGTCGTCACACCTGGTCCCATGCCCTTTGCTCCCTGTGAGGGTTACCACCTATGGGCAGCAAAGGCAGTTTGAAAGGGTGTTGGTAACAGCCCTGCTGGCTCCATCACTAGGGATTCCCGTCCCCAGCCCCTCCCTCCCCACCATACCTGGCTTTCCCACAGGTGCTCTGGAGATTGAGCAGGCCCTTCCTATCCACGCTGGCCGATACACTTGCACAGCTCGCAACTCTGCTGGCATGGCCCGCAAGCACATGGTCCTCATAGTGCAAGGTAAGTCCTCCACTGGGCCACCCGAGGTCCCTGGGTAAAGGTGAGGGACTGGGGGCAGGTGGAGTGGGAGTATAGGGGAGGCCTCAGCCCCCAATCCCGGCTCCCCTCACAACAGCCTATCTGTAATTGATTCCTAGTATGGAATCAATAAGGATGGGTTCCCTGCAGCCTTGTGGCTGATCAGGGGCTTCAGAGCCCCTCTTCTTTTAGAAGCCACCCCCTCCCTTTGAAACACATCCTGGTTGGGAGATTCCTGTGGGAGGAACCTCTGTCTTCTGTGCCTGCAGCCTCCCCTGTGGTGAAGCCGCTGCCCAGTGTGGTTCAGGCTGTGGAGTCTGAGGAGGTGCTTCTGCCCTGTGAGGCCTCTGGCATCCCCCAGCCAGTGGTCATCTGGCAGAAGGAGGGGCTCAGCATTCCTGAAGGTGAGACCTCACAGTGGCCAGCGAGAAGGGCAAGGGGGGCCCCCTTCCTGCCCAGGAGACCCCCTCCCACCTCGACCCCTGGGAGAAGTCCCACCCAGCCCAGCCCGAGAAGCAGTCCCACCTTCTGCTCTGGCGACTCTTTCCTGCCCTCCTTTCTGGGAGTGTCCTGTCTGCTCCGTCACTCTGTGACACCAGCAAATCAGACAGATCATCTCAAGTCACATCTGGTTTCTGTAGGCCAGTGGTTCCCAGCCTTCCTAATGCTGTAAACTTAATAACAGTTCCTCATGGTGTGCTGACCCCAACCACAAAATAATTTAATTGCTGCTTTGTAACTGTAATTTTTGCCACTATTATGAGTCGCAATGTAAATATCTGAGATGCAAGGTATCTCATATGTGACCCCCCAAAGGGGTCCCTACCCAAAGATTGAGAACCATTGCTTTAGGCACGTCCCACATACCAAATACTAGCCTTAATTTTATCCGTCCAAATCTAGGAACACGTATACGGGTCCTTGCCAGCGGCCAGCTGTGGATCACGCACACCAGCCCAGAGGACGCCGGGAACTACTTCTGCATTGCTCAGAACAGTGTGGGCAGTGCCATGGCAAAGACTAGGCTGGTAGTGCAAGGTGGGCCCAGAAGACCTGCAGGAGACATGGTTACCAGGACTTTGAGGCTCTCTGTCTCTTCGTTGTCTATTCTAGTCCCAACTGACACATGCCTACCTCTTCCCTACCCAGCACTGCTGAAGGAACTAGAGAGAACCCTTGCTTTCCTCTTGTCCACAGTCTGGCTCCAGGCATAAATACTTACCCTCTGCCTTCTCCATCCCCTCCTGGGATGCAAGCCTGGCCTTCCTTCTTTCCTTGTCACTTGGTGACAGTAACTATTGGTCCTGCTCAAAAGCTTCTACATGGCTCTCCCTTAGCTCACCATGCAGAGAGCATTCAGTGGGGCTCAGGGTCCTCTGGCCCTGTGGTTGTTATCTGGTTGGCTGTGGCTCTGCAGCTAGGGTCAGGCTTTGCCATGAATCCAGTGGCTCCTGGCTCAATACCCTGAACCTGCTTGCCCAACACGAATGCATGACATCTGATGAATAACACCAAATACCTGTGACCTTCACTCTATCCCTAATGTAGTCCCTGTGGGAGGGAGGTGTACAAGCTTTGCTGCACGTAGTCTCTGAGGTTGTCACACATAGATAGGGAGCCTGGGCTAATGGGGACCTACACAGACTCTGCCTCCACTGCAGTGCTTTAAGTCAGTGTGAGTGTGTGTGTGTGTGTGTGTGTGTGTGTGTGTGTGTGTGTGTGTACATGTGTGAACTACAAATGTGGGCACACAGGTGCAATCAGGTCACACTGACATGACATCAACAAACAGAATCCTCCAATCATTCTGACCACAGGCAATGACTATGGCTGGGCGGTTGGTAGAAGTTGATAGCGGCTGTGGGGACCACAAAGGGCAGTGTCACAGAGCAGCCGCCCTACCACAGCTTAACCTAGCCCCAAATGGGCATCCATCTCCCCACAGTCCCACCTGTGATTGAGAATGGCCTCCCAGATTTGTCCACTACTGAGGGCTCCAACGCCCTCCTGCCCTGCACAGCCAAGGGCAGCCCTGAGCCAGCCATCACCTGGGAAAAGGATGGCCAACTGGTGTCTGGAGCTGATGGCAAATTCGCCCTGCAGCCTTCTGGGGAGCTCTTGGTGAAAAGCTCTGAGGTGAGAGTGGCCCTAGGGTAGCAGATGTCTGTGGAGTACCACCTGTTTGCCAAGATTATCCCGGAGCCTGGTTAGGCTCCTTAGCCCCTGAGAACCTGGGAGGGCAGTGTTGGCATCCCACCCAATAGGATAAACCAAGGCTCAGGGTACAACTGGATATCCCAAGACAGCTCCTGTCTGTGATCAGAACCCAGGTTTGAAACTGGACCACCACCACCTCCCAGGGTAGCATAGTGATAACTTTGTGTCTCCATAGCATAGTATATCAGTTGTTCTCAGTCAGCCTCCGTGATGTTGAAGGTCCTCCAAGTTCAGGACTATGGGGTGCCAGTGTCCTTAATTATCAATACTACAAAAGGAGCCATGTTTTCAATGACGTGGCAGCTGTATGGTGACATACAAATGTGACCCTGCCCCACAGCAGTGAGGAACACACTAGCTCTACACCTGTGTTCTGTAGAACGTCTCACCTCAGAACCTCACTAGGTTTTCTCCATGAAGTCCCCAAGGTAGGAGCCACTTCTTGAATGTTTCAAACATGGGTAAGCTGACATGCATCAGTTTGAGCACAAGGTCTGGCCACTCAGTAAATCTCAGAAAACAGGACTGGGTCAACGCTTGGGTAGTTAAAAAGGGGGGAGGCACTTCTGCCTAGCCTTAGAGAAGTCAGCCTCTTGCTGACTGTAGGATCTGGGGGAAAACACTCTACTATCTGGGTTGGGTGTTCCATAGGAACCTGTGGAGAATGGGTCTCCAAGGGTGTCTTTGGCCCAGGCTAGGTGCAGAGGGAGTCTCCATCCTGAATGTCCCTCTACCCACAGAGCCAGGATGCAGGCACATACATCTGCACCGCAGAGAATGCTGTGGGCCGTGCCCGCCGCCGTGTGCATCTCACTATCCTGACACTGCCTGTCCTCACCACCTTACCCGGGGACCGCAGCCTGCGCCTTGGGGACAGGCTATGGCTTCGCTGTGCAGCCCGGGGCAGCCCAACACCCCGCATTGGTTGGACCATCAACGATCAGCCTGTGACAGGTTTGGGTTTCCTGGAGTCAGGAGTGATGAAAGCTGGGACCTGGGAGGTGGAAGAGGGTGGCAGCGAGTCCTTCAGGCTCTGGGTGTCCAGGCTACACAAGCAAACAGAGGCGCCTGCCTGTGGGTATACATCCTGAGCCATCTGAACAGGAGACTCAGCCCAGAGACCTCAGGTCAGAAGGGGCTGCCTGTGTTCTGTCCCTGAGATGCAACCCCCATAGGGGGTAACTCTCCTCCCTTCTGAGATCCAGGGGAACATAGGGTTTCAGAGTACATAGTAGGTACTTGACCAATGTTCAAAGTACACAGTAGGCACTTGACAAATGCTTGCTTCTCTAGTGACTCGCTGGGTACCTCCCCTGAAAATGGCTTTTTGTACTGTGGAGTGCATCACTCCTTCCAAGTGTAAGACCAGGCCTTCTGAGCACCTGTGTGCTGCTTCAGACAAGAATTTGCTGGGCCCCACCCTTCCCAAGGGAGTTGCAGTAGATGTCCCAGCAATGTCTTCTGTGATGCAGAAAAAGCAGGGCTACCGAGGACAGGGTGACTCAACACAGAAATACATGTGGCATGCCACATAAATTTCCCCATGATGGCAGTGTCTGTCCCTTTCCTATCCTAGAGACCATGTCTGATCCACAGCAAGGAAAGGCAGTATGTACTGAGGCCCTGAGTTCGAGTCCTTAGCACCCACAGAAAAAGCTGGAGAGGCAGAGACAGGCTTGCTAGACCTCACTAGCCAGCCAGGCTAGTCGAGTGGTTCTCAAACTGTGGGTCATTGGGGTCAGGTATCAGATATCCTGCATGCCAGGCATTTACATTATAACTCATAACAGTAGTTACGAAGTAACAACTGAAACAATTTTATGCTTGGGGATCACCACAATAAGAGGAATGGCATGGAAGAGTCACAGCATTAGCAAGATTGAGAACCACGGGCTAGCCAATCAGAGAACCCACAGGACTTTGTGTAGCCCAAGCTGGCCTTGAGCTCATAACCTACTGTCTTCATTCCTGAACACTTGGGTTACAGGCCTGCAATCCTTTGTCTGGCTTTTGATGTTAATAGACCCTTGACTGTCACCTGGAAATTATAAAACAGGCAAATTCTCTGGCCACATCCTCTGTGACGTGTGGCCTCCACAAAAGACCCGATCCAATCAGTCTGCCACCCATGAAGAAGGGACCCTCCCATCGGTTTCTGTATCCCTGCCCAGCACCTTCTGGATAGACAGGCCTCGGCAGAGTAAGGAGGGATGGAGGCCCCGATCCCTGGACTGACAGTCATGGACATCTCTTCTTCTACCACAGAGGGGGTGTCTGAGCAGGATGGGGGCAGCACACTGCAGCGGGCAGCCGTCGCCAGAGAAGACAGTGGGACGTATGTGTGCTGGGCTGAGAACAGAGTTGGCCGTGTGCAGGCTGTCAGCTTTGTCCATGTGAAGGGTAGGATGGGAGCCCATGCCACCTTTCCCCATACACCTCCTGTCATCCACTTCCTGCTGTTCAAGAAGCAAGCTTCCTGCCTTCTAACTAGTGACTCTTCAACTTGTGTGTGTTGGGACCCCCGGGAGACTTCATAAACTGCCCCCAGGGAGTGGTGCAGAAAACAGTGTATTTTACACTCCCTCCCCTGACACTCCCACCTGTAACTGGACGATGCAGGGGCGGGGCAGGTGGTGGACATTGGGGCCAAGGTATTCCCAGCCTGCTACTGTTGTCCCCTTGGCACAGGTAGCCCTCAGAGACACTGGGATTTTTGTTCCGCTTTGGGTGGGCCATGCTGGAGGCAATGTAGCCCACAGGGCAGTGGGACTGTCTGACTTTGGATAGATTCAACCTCAGGAACATAGGGATTGTGAACTAGCCAGCAGTGCTTGGGGAGTAGCATGAATCCCTTAGCTTTTGTGTCCAGCGGTGTCCCCCGCACTCCTGGCTCCAATAGTTCTTTTCCAAAGTGTCTGGCAATGTGATCTGCAGCTGGGGTAATCCATCTGTGCAGACCAGTACTGGAGACACATATAAGACAAGATTCCTTCCTGCATCCGCTCAGACATCACTAATCAATCATTGCAAAATTCCCATTCAGCAGCAACTCCCTTTCAGCACAGTTCCTGGTGGTCACTGACAGTTGCCCTCCCAGTACATTGACTGTGTACACCATGCTAGGCCAGCAGGAGCTTCTTTAGGCCTCAAGAGAAAGGCAGGGGCTGAGCAGCATTTTGTGGTGGGTAAATGAAATGCTGGGCTTCAAGGGAGCCTCCCTCCTGGCTACTTCTTGTGTTGGCTCTTACAGAGGCTCCAGTCCTACAAGGGGAAGCCTTCTCCTACCTGGTGGAACCTGTAGGGGGCAGCATCCGGCTAGACTGTGTGGTTCGTGGAGATCCAGCTCCAGACATCCGTTGGACTAAAGACAGCCTTCCACTGCCCGTCAGCCGCCTCTATCTCCAGCTGCAGAATGGCTCCCTGACCATCCTCAGGACCAAGGCAAGGCGGAGCCCAGTCCTATGCTCTTTACAACTGTTTAGGGGGCTCTTTGGGTTAGCACTACCCTCTATAGTCTGTCTATACAGCACTTGCCTGCTTATTCTCTAGGTATTGCCACACCCCCACTCACTGTGTCTGTGCCTTACACTGTCCAGGTTATATCTGCCTCACAGGCTAACCGTGGGAAATCATCAGTAGAGGGGACTTATGCCAGATATTTAAGAGTGGCCTGTGATAGCTGGGCGTTGGTGGTGCATGCCTTTAATCCCAGCTCTCGGGAGGCAGAGGCAGGCGGACCTCTGTGAGCTTGAGGCCATCCTGGTCTACAGAGCTACACAGAGAAACCCTGTCTCAGGGGAAAAAAAAGGAGTGGCCTTTGAGAAAAGCTACCTAAACATTATTTTTAATATGAGTAGGCTGGATAGGTAATAAGTAACTCTGACCACTGTATAAATGAAGACACTGGAGATCAGGGCCACAGTACAGCAGGAAGCTGACTGTGCTGCCTGTTCCCTACGGTCAGCTCCCGCCCAGCTTTCATCTGTATCCCATGTTCCAGCAGCTAGTGACACTGAAACTCCACAGTCCATCCTGGCACCACATCTTCATGGGCTTTGAACCTGCCCACTTGGGAACCATGCCAATAGTGATTAAAAACAGGCCTAGTGCAACAGCAGCTGCAGTGACAGCCACCCTGCCTGAGCCAGCATGAGTGACATGAGGTTTAGCACCTGTGACAGTCCTGGGATACCAATAATCATCCGGGGAACACTTGAAACAGTCCTGAGGTCACCTGCAACAGTTCTAGAGACACCTGCAACAGTCCTGGGGACACTTGCAACAGTTCTAGGGACACCTGCAGTAGTCCTGGGGACACCTGCAACAGTCCTGGGGACACTTGCAACAGTTCTAGGGACACCTGCAGTAGTCCTGGGGACACCTGCAACAGTCCTGGGGACACCTGAAACAGACCCAGGGACACCTGAAACAGTCCTGGGGACACCTGAAACAGTCCCAGGGACACCTGAAACAGTCCTGGGGACACCTGAAACAGTCCCAGGGACACCTGAAACAGTTCTAGAGACACCTGCAACAGTTCTAGGGACACCTGAAACAGTTCTAGAAACACCTGAAACAGTCCTGGGGACACCTGAAACAGTTCTAGGGACGCCTGCAACAGTTCTAGAGACACCTGCACAATCCTGGGGACAACTGCAACAGTTCTAGAAATACCTGCAACAGTCCTGGTGACACTTGCAACAGTTCTAGAGACACCTGCAACAGTCCTGGGACCCCGAAACCGTCCTGGGGACACCTGAAACAGTTCTAGGGACACCTGCAATAGTCTTGGTGATACCTGCATCAGTTCTAGAGACACCTGCAATAGTTCTAGACACACCTGCAATAATACTAGAGATAACTGCAACAGTCTTGGGGACACCTGCAATAGTTCTAGGGACACCTGCAACAGTCCTGGGGACACTTGAAACAGTTTTAGGGGTGCCTGCAATAGTCTTGGTGACACCTGCATCAGTTCTAGAAGCTCTTATTCTTTCAGAGATTGGGAAGCTGAGTCTTCAGAGACACAGTACTGTGGCAGCTATGGGACTCCAGCCATGTGGGTCTGGTCTCCAGATCTCTGCCCTCAGCTCTACATCATGCAGGTCCCTTGGATCTACCTCCTGGATAGTTGGGAGGGTTGTTTTTTGAATTTTTAAAATATTTCTTTTGGTTTGGTTGTAATTTTGTTTAGTTTGTTTGGGAATGGTATTTTGTTGGTGGTTTTGTTTTGTTTTGAGACAAGGTCTCACTGTGTAGCCTCAGCTGGCTTGGAACTCACTATGTAGACTAGGCTGGCCTTAAATTCATAGAGGTATCTGCCTGCCTCTACTTCCTGGGTGCTGGAATTAAAGGCCTGTGTTACTATGCTTTGCTTTTAAAAATAACAAAAAATCTAGCAGCAACAGCATGAAGAATGAAGAATGAAGGTGTCTCCCTGCATCACCACAGACTTGAGTCATGAACATGACACCCTGTGAACAGTGTCCTTAGCCACTGAGTGAGTGGGCTGGAGACACTGTGTGCTTCACACTCTGATGCAAACATTCTGAGAAGCCTCTGGCTTTAGAATGGACCAGGCCAGGCTGGGGAGATGGTCCAGTCCACAAATTCAACATAATGGATGAAGACTGGAGTTCTATCCCCAGAACCCACATTGTAAAAGCTGGGCCTCATAGCTCAAATAATCCAAACCCTGGACAAATGCACAGGCTGACTCTTTGCCTCACTGGCCAGCCAAAACTAGCATACTTGGTGAGTTCCAGGCCAGAGAGAACACAGTGGATAGATAAAAGCTGAGGAATGACACCCAAAGTTGACCTCTGGCCTTCACCTATGTGTATGTGCGTGTGTGAGTACACACACACACACACACACACACACACACACACACACAATACATATATAAATAATTTTAAAGTGTGCTTGATAGTATTTAGTAAACATATTCCAAGGCATCCAAATCCCACACACAATGCACGGCAGAGCAATAGTAGCTCACATAGACTTCTGAAAGAATCAGAACCATGCTTTTCCCCAGCACAAGATTGCCCAGGGCAACAAGGCCCAAATTCCTCACCTCCTGTATCTGAGTGCTAAGGGGATGGATTCTCTGCATAGTAGATGAATGGCCTTGAGCTCCCTTGCTGCTTCCAGGATTCCTGTTTCCCTGCCCCCTTTCCCCCCTACACCCCTCCCAGCTAGATGAGTCTCAGTACAGTCGCCAATCTGTGCCCAGCTGCCCCTTGTCCTTACCTGAGCACCTGCCCTCTCTCCTTTCCACCTGCAGATGGACGATGCAGGAAGGTACCAGTGCCTGGCCACGAACGAGATGGGTGCTGTGAAGAAAGTGGTGACACTTGTGCTTCAGAGTGAGTTTCAGCTGTCCCTAGCAGGTGGAGATCAGGTGACGTGGGCACTCGGTGCCAGCTGTGACTGGGTACAATTAATTGTGCAGAAGGTGTCATTGAAGCCCATGAAACATTTCCCAAATGTAGGATGAAACTCAGGGTCGGGGTCGGTGCCAGCTATGACTGGGTACAGTTAATTATGCAGAAGGTGTCGTTGAAGCCCATGAAACATTTCCCAAATGTAGGATGAAACTCAGGGTCGGGTTGAAAAAAAAAGTTGCTGTTACTTTCATTGTTTCTATTTAAGACTCAAAACTGCCTTTGAGGTTAAAGTGACAACTCTTGCACTGGACACGCATCTCAGAGCTATCATGGCACTGTCTGAACCTCATGAAACACTGTGAAGGAATCTTGGGAGTTTAACAGAAAGTATTTTGTGTGTGTTGAAGGGGTGCTTATGTGGGGGTGCTCAGCAGTGCATGAACATGTGGAGGCCAGAGGTTGATATCAGGAGTCTTCCTCTGTTGCCGTCCACCTTACTGCTCTGAGACTGGTCCTGCAGTGAACCAGGAGCTCACTGTTCTAACTAGATTGACTGGCCAAAGAGGCCCCAGATCCTCCTGCTTCTGCCTTCCTAGCACTGGGGTTACAAACCTGCACTGGCTAGCTTTTGATCAAACACAGGTCGCCATGTTTGTGCACAAGTGCTCTACCCACTGGGCCATTTCCCCAGCCCTATAGAAAGTTTGTATTGAAGATGAATCCATATATGAAGTGTTGTGCCAGGTTCTCGGAGCCCAGAGACTAGCCCAAGGAGTCAACACTCTCATGCAAAAGCACAAGGTTCTTTTTATTTCAAGCTGGCCAGCTAGGATCTCACTGCATGGAAGGCAAATGAGATGCAACCAGCCAAAAAGAGAAGCTTTTAAAGGGGCAGACCATAAGGTTGAAGGCCACAAATTACAGAGTTCCCATGGTTACTTAAGGTCCTACAAAGTACAGAGTTAGTCAGTAACTATACATTTTAAGGGAGATACATTTGACTGAGATAAGACAGGGCATGGGCTTCCAGGGTTACAGAGTCACAGGGTCTGTCAGTTACCCCCTGGGCTGGGGGATCTTTATGACCAGCAATTAGCAAAGGAATGTTAACAGGAGTGGTGGACAGTTACCTCTCCTTCTTTGAGACTAGGGGATCAGGCGCCAGCCATGGCACTCCTGATTTAAGGAGTTAAATTTTCTGTTTCCATTAGACATTCCCTTTTCAGTGCCTAAGTTATTTTTACACTTTTATTAATTTTAATTTTTGGTTCCTCAGAAGTACAGCATTCCACTTGATATCTAGCACAATGAGATTACATAAAGGGAACCCACCCACCAATACCAACTCCCAGCACCCCAAACAATCCTAGTCACTCTCCCTTATCTCACTAATTGCTGCCCTGAGTTCTTATAACAAAAGACTCCCAGCTCTGCTGAGCTATAATTCACATTGAGTGAGTATGGCCACACAAATCCATAATCCCAACCCTTAGGAGACTGAGGCAGGAGGATTACTGAGAGTGCAGCCTGGGCTATATAGTGAGTTTCAAGCCAGCCAAGCCTCCTACACTGTGAGACTCTAATCTAAGAAATAAACTTTTAAAAAGGTGGGGTGTGGGTGATGGTAGACTAAACAGATGGCTCAGTGCTATTCCAGAAGATGGAGTTAAGTTCTCAGCACCACACCCATGTCAGAAAGCTCACAACTTCCTTTAACTACTGCTCTCGGGGTACCCAGCACCCTCTTCCAATCTCTGTGGGTACTTACACTCATGTGCACATACCCACACACAGATTCACACACATATACATAATTTAAAATAAATCCTTAAAAAGAAAAGGGTACTTATCTGGTTAGTTATTGATAAAATCGATCTCTGTGGGTACTTACACTCATGTGCACATACTCACACACAGATTCACACACATATACATAATTTAAAACAAATCCTTAAAAAGAAAAGGGTACTTATCTGGTTAGTTATTGATAAAATCATAGATCTGTGCAATTATAGCCACAGCCATACCTGGCAGATTTCTATCAGCAGGAACTCCAGTGAACCCTCTCGTCACCCCTGCACCCAGGTCAGCCCCAGGCCAACCAGTGACCTGCTTCCTGTTTCTCCAGATGTTCCTATTCTGGAACTTTCACATGGATGGGATCCTAGACAGTCTTCTTTTTCTGGCTCCTTTGAGCTGTGAATTCTCTTTCTCCCAGTCTACAGCCTGTCTGTGACTTTTCTTGACAAAGCCTTTATAGAAAGGCTAAATGTAAATTGTAAGGGTGTCCAAACTTAACCAATTTTGTACTTTTTTGATTATATATTTAGTGTTATATTTTTTAAGTCCTTGGGTCTGAGGAAATGATGCAGTGCTTGTCCTGCAAACATGAAGACCCAAGTTCAGTTCCCAGAACCCACACTTAAAAAGTCCAGTGTGGAGCTGATGAGATGACTTGGCACGTCAGAAGAGCCCAACCACCTAAAATCAGTCTATGAAATCTACATGGTACATGTTGAGAACTGACTCCCACAAGTTGTCTTCTGACCTCCACACTCATGCCATGCAGAGATATGAATAAATAAATGTAAAAACAAAATGTTGAAGCTCTGTGTGATGGCATGCATTTGGAATCCCAGTACCAGGCAGTGGCAGGAAGCGGATCCCTAGGGCTTTCTGGACAATTAGTCTGACTTAAATGATAAGCTCCAGGCCAAGGAAGAAAATCTGCCTCAGTAAAAAAAGGCAGTCAGCACCTGAGGTTGACCTCTGACGTCACCATCCGTGTTCGTGCACACATGCATACCCCTCCCCCCACACACACACCTACAATTTTCATAGCTGTGGTTCTTACATGGGGTCTATGATCCATTCTGAGGTCATTTTTAAGTGAAGTAAGGGTCTAGTTTTTATTTTCTTTTTCATCTGGAGTCCATTCATTCCTGCAAACCCCAAGTTTCTCTCAAAACACATCACAGCACACTGCAGAGCAGGCCACTACACTTGTTTTGCTAAACTGATTGCTAAGTATTTTTTTATTTTACCTAAAATTGCCTGATTTGGGATTTTTTGTTGCTTGTTCATAGAAGAGGTATAGATCTTAAGATCTTAAGAGGTCACAGGATCTTAAACACAATACTCCAGCTTCCACCTCAGAGTGCAAGAGTTACAGGCATGCCCCACCACAATGTATTCAGTCCTAGGGGTTGAGCTCAGGGCTTCATGCATCCTAAGCAAGCCCTCTACCAACTGAGCTATATCCCAGCCCATCATCATCACCATCACCATCATCACCATCACCATCACCATCACCATCACCACCATCACCACCACCACCACCATCACCACCACCATCACC